CTCAACTCACATGTTGATTTTTACGGAGGGAGGAAACAGTAAAACTACTGAGCTAGGTATAGTTAAAATACCGTTATGAGCAGGGCAATCCAGTCATGAAAAAGCTTAATAAAACTATTTCTCAGCTTTAACAAAATGGTATTGCATTTGATCTACAATATTAAACATCATGGATTACTGAGGAAAGGGCGCTACCTTTTGTAATTACATTTGCAAATGGTTAGACCTCTGCATTAATGGTGCAGGTCCCATCCCTAATCAACTGAAGACCATCAACGAGGACCATAAGTTTATCAGTTGAATTACTGTCAAGTAATCTGTAAATCCTCTTTAAACAAATATGATTTATTTATTCGTACCTGCAGCTTTTTAGCTTCTTGTACAACATCACAAGTTTTATTCCCAAAACTGCTGTTCACCTGGGCTAAGATCGCATTCATCAAATCCAATTCACTTTCAACTTTAGTGAAGAGTCCATTAAAACCTGCCAGTAACATCTGTCCTGCTGACATCTGTTCACTTGACTTCTTCCCTAAAAACATGACAATTGCACAGGATGACACATACTGCGGCTGAATGGTAATAGGAAACAATACAATCCCTAAATATGACTCTCAGGCATTGCTGAATACTCCAGTATTGAATTCTCTGTTGCTCGGTTGCTCTTTTGGGCCAACAGTTTATCTGTAACCCTGTTTTACCGTAGGGTATTTTAACCCTCTTTCAACAAAGTCTTTTTATTATTTATTATAGTGTTAGCCTCGATTTTGTGAAGAATATTGTGTTCTTGTGAAGGTACGTGGAGTTTTAAAGTGTTTGTATCGTTGAAGTTGTGTAATCTTTACTGTTGGTATTAATTTTGTGAATATTTTGACCTTGAATGAGGCTAATGAATGCTCAGTGCAAATGAGTCTGTTATCAAGGAACACAGAGGTATGTTATGAATTGGAAAAAAAGTCTATTGAAAGTGAGAGATCGCATCAGTCTTCAAACACTTTGTTTGGATAACATGCAATAAAGTACACGCTTTGTGTGTCAGGGAGCAATTAAGTAGCAATAAAGTTGGAAGAATCTCCCTTACCGATTGCATTCCTTGACTGTTGGATGGCATCAAACTGCTGCTGTAATATGGATATCTTTGAACTGATGCTGGAGGAATTAACATCCTTTAAAAGAAAAAAAGAATGATCATCATAATGTTGGTGATGATGACTGTGATGATGATGATGGTGATGATTAGGGGGTAGTAGTGAATGATGATGGTGGTGTTAGTGAATAACAACCATCCGACAAGGCAGGGAGGTTGTAACATACCTGGCATTCATGTGAACTGTTCATCTCTCTTTCTAACGTTTTGGCCAGTGCAGCAATATCTTCTCCATGTACAAGTCTCTCTAAGCTCTCTAACATACGAGTTACGCTAGGATCTCCTGAAGTGAAACTCTTGATGGCCTCAGGAACAATGATATTCCTGAAGTTTGTCATCAATTCCTGCAGGAAAAGAGAATAGAAATCACAATAATATTGATAATCAAGTGGTTTTGAAATGATGGGAAAATGGTGCTTAGGAGTTAGGTGTTACATAATGCAATGTGCTGGTAGAGTAGGTGTGGTGGTGATGTTGTAGTAAGCTGTGATATAATGTGGTGTGGTGGGGTTTGGTGTGGTATGGTTGTGACATGTGGTGGGGTGTGGTTTAGTTTGGTGTGGTGTGGTGTGATAAAATATGATATATTGTAGTAAGGTGTAGTCTGGTGGGGTGAGGTTGGTTTAGTTTAGTGTGAAGTGATGGTATGGTGTAGTATGATAAGATATTACATGATGCAGTATTTTTGTAGTACAAAGCTCATGGTGGTGTATTGTGAATTAAATCAATAATAATGAAATACCATTGCCAATGAACTAGTATAACATTATATCAAGAGATAATGGAAAATACTTTTATTACCTGAAGGGCAGAGAAGACTTTGTGAACTGCAAAAATGCCCTTGATAGAGTTGTTTAGTTCTTCTTTAGACGAACTCTTCTGTTCTTCAATGACCTGAAGACAACATATATACATATCGGTATTCATATCAAAGATAAGTAACTAGTATTTATATGCAGCATTCATCCTACCAACATAGACCTCTGTCAAGAATATTTGGATGCAAAGGTAATGGTAATTTGTCATATGAGATTTGCACTTGTTCTTTTATATTTTCCAGCTAGCCACATGTGCAAGAAAGTTTGAAGGAGGTCTATATCAATATATCTCTCCCTCATTCCATCTGTCTGTCTGTCTGTCTGTCCATCTGTCTGAGTGTCTGTGAATACTTAGCAGACATCCATCACTTCTTTAGCAATATAGAATTCCTAGTTTATTGCTCACACCTCAGCTAGTGTTATACTATTCATTTAATAGATGTATAGAATCTGAGGATAATATGACTGCGTATAGGCAGTACTCACCAGAGGATGACCTCTCAGCAGGGACAGAAGCTGTGTGACATTACCGCTCATTGAACATAGCTCTTCTAAAAACCAGTCACCTTCTCTTGATGTCAGGTCTGATAGTCTGTCACCAGCAACTACAATACATCAAACACAGCATTAAAAGAGAGAACCTAGCCTCCTCCTCTGAATACTCCATATTAATTTTATTCTCAAGAAAGAAATTGGGATTCCTCAATGTTTAAATATATGGAAGAAAAGAGCTGGGGACAAGAGAGGGATAACCTCAAACATCTTATTCCTTGAAATAAAGTCAAAATATTCTCAACCTTTAGCTGTGTTCTCCATCACTAAACATCTCTTGCTCTGAGAATAAAGTACTTTAACAATGACAGAGCTCAGGCATATGGTGGCACTGGGTTGGTTATCTGTAGAATAAACAATAATAAATATGAATGGTTTACAAACAGTTGTCAGTTGGAGGTCATACAATTCTCATGTTGTCATCAGATGGTTGTCAAGGTGGTACGTCACACACTTGCTGAGTGACTGACAGGTAAATGACAAACTAAGTGTAATCAGATGGTTGTCAAGGTTCCACACTTGCTGAGTGACTGACAGATAAATGACAAACTAAGTGTAATCAGATGGTTGTCAAGGTGGTTACATACTTGCTGAGTGACTGACAGATAAATGACAAACTAAGTGTAATCAGATGGTTGTCAAGGTGGTTACACACTTGCTTAGTGACTGATAGATAAATGACAAACTAAGTGTAATCAGATGGTTGTCAAGGTGGTTCCACACTTGCTTAGTGACTGACAGATAAATGACAAACTAAGGGTAATCAGATTATTGTTGAGTGGCTGTCAGTCTGATGTCAAGTGGTCTACAGCTATTGTTTGCCTGAAACATATTTGTTAAGACTGGCAAGTGATGTGCTCTAATTCTTGTTATAATATAGTCAAGTAAATCCGCGCGATCTGATTGGTTGAAAAGCATGAACCATTTGCCCAGGGGTTGCACGCTCACGTCAGCTTTTTTTGCTTCGGCGAAAAAAAACATTTTGTATCTTTTTGCTGACAATTTATCTAGAAAAGATAACTGACAATAATTGAAAAAACTAGCGAAAATACTCATCAATCTCCGACATTTAGTATAGAGTTGTCATTTGATCAGCCTAGTAATAAAACGTCAAGATTTGCATCACTTTCAAACAGTGAGCTGGACAAGATTGTGTCAGAGCGTCACTCCAAAAAGACAAAGCAAACCACAAGTCGGTCGGTGTCTACATTCAAAGGGTTTTTAGCAATGATTAAACAAACACAAAAATATTGTTATCGTGTATTTATTCAACAAAAGTATTTCCAAAGTAATTAACTATAAATATCTTGCTCACCATCTACTTCGCAGCTTCACAACTGCAGTGAAGTCCTTTCTGAAGCTCCACATGGGAGGGAAAGCCGACATAGCATACTATCCAGAGAAAATTAATCCAGTTCAGTCAGTTAGTTTTGATCCGTGTACAAGAAGCTTTCCATTGCTAAGTCATTGTACGATAACAAACTTGAACATCGCCAACAACAACCAAGACAGCCACTGTGTTTTTCATTGATTTTCTCGGGCATTTAACTGTACTAAGATATGTCAACATTTGAAATGTACTTCTTACAGTTGAAAATCACTTTCTCCGTAGTTTTGAACATTTTTGATTCCCTGGTAAGCTAAATTTTTGCCATTATTTTAGTCATAACAGTCTTCATGCAGTGTAAAGCTGCCATTTTCAAAACGACTGTTTTTTTCTGTTTTTGGCGCCTTTGTGCTTTTCATTCGCACGCAAGGTGCGTAAGGAGAATTTAGGGCATGATCAACAAATACAGTCTATAATTTGTATTTATTTCTTGTTTGTTCACTTGACTATATTATAAAAGTAATGGATCATAAGTAGCTGTGCGTCCATCGAGTCATGGATGCAATTGGGAGGTTGCTTAAGCACTCAAAAAAGCTAGAGTTGCACTCCACTTTGCGTAGTGCAACTCTTTACGCTTTTCTTCGTGCTTCGTCCATAACTCGATGAACGCACAGCTACTTATGATCCATTGCTTAAATGTTCTCTCGTACAGGCAGCTTGTTTACCCTGTCCTAGCCTCTTTATGATAGAAAACATATTTATTACTTGTTTACAGTTCCAGCATGTTTTTCATGAGATATTGTTTTGTCTTGTTATTGTTGTGCTTCGTTTGTAAACACTGTGACGTAATGTTATTATGCCGCGTTGCATCATGGTTTAGGACACCACAGGTAACCCAACACGTCTTGGACTTTCAGAGCTCTTAACAAAAATACAGTTGTCATTTCTTCGTCAGGTAAGGATTTTTCCCAAATTTCTTAATTGTTTCAGGTAAAACGTCACAACCCTGAAGTCAGCCGTTTCTTGAACAGGGATTAGGATACCTGTTATAGTATGAATGCATTGCACTCTTATACTGTACTTCCTGTCTGCTTCGTGGGTTCAAGTCAAATCGAAGGCAGCGTCGTTTCTCTCTCTTCTTATTCTCTTCGCTGTTCAAGTTTCGTAGGTCATTTTGTATCAGTGAATGCATCAATACATCAGGTATTCATTCTCATTGAAGGCCTGATACTCAGGCTAGGTATTCATATATATTTGGAATTTCATACCTGGCCGGGCATAGGAATTATAGGCGTTGTTTTGGGGGTGGTAACGTTTTATATTTATATTTAGCTTCCCAACCCATAATATCTATGATACCTGTCAATTATCTGTCACAGTGTTGATTTTCATCCAATCATAAGCCACATAGCTATCACATGTGGTGTGACGTAGGCTCTGGTTAACTGAGACTATAAAAACATTCTTGATTCTAATCTGTTTCATTTGTCTGGGGCACAAAGTGACGGTCCAATATCCATGTCTCTTTGTCATTCTTCTTCTTCTTCTTCTTCTTGCTGATCAAGTAAGTTTTACATGTCAATTTGTATCCGTGAATGCATCAATACGTTAGTAGGTCTCCAGGTATATGTTAAGATAAGATTTAGTATAAGATGTATGTAACATAACACAGTGCTATAAATCAAGGAATACTAAACTTCTAACTGTGTAGCAACAAGATGTTGATATCAGTGTATCGTAAAAGAGATTATACTGATCGTTGCTAGTTAGCTGTTCAATATCGTTGGTAAGTGAAAAGTTTTGATTCAAGATTGAACGAGAAGCTGTAAAGGGGTGTTCCCGGTAGACTGTAGACTGGAAGAATGTGTGCATGTTCTAATGTACCAGGTACATCAGTACTACATCAGATGATGTATTGTAGATCCGTGAATTGCATAGAGTCTAATATTTAGGTGCAGTTTAMAATCAGTAGTCCTGATATTTGCTAAGAAACAACTCATTTGCAGATGCCACATTCCTGTGATCATCAAGCATATCATAAATCAGATTGAGCAATCTTYTAAGATTTTAGACTTGAAGTCATTTTCCTTATTTAGATTTCAGTTTACTGTTATTTACTGTACCTTTAGTGATTTTAGATGAATTTAATGGTAAAATTCTACCTCTAGGTTGTATGATCTAGGAGTTACTATCAAAGTGAAAKCTTGRGTGGGACGARACGTCATGGGATATCAGAGCTCATGTGATAATAATACAAATTTATAATGACGCATGTTAGCAGTATTTGAATTTTTAATGAAGTCCGACAGGCCATGCCTATCTCTGTGCTTTTCGTTGTTCTGTTCTCCTTCAACTTATTCTACCACAATTTCGACAGTGAAAGTGCACATCTAAATACCGAATACTGCTATTTGTCTGGACAAACTGTCAAAACTTCTACGTTTCCCACTGTTATAGGCCATTTTTTTGATTCACAATGTCACGGATCATCAACATTGGTATACTTTTTAATTTGCATCAAGTTACACTCTACTTACCACACATTGTTCTTTGAAACAATAACCATTGAACCAACTACAATATGGATATGCAGTCGGTTTGTTCTTCAAGTATCAAAACAGATCAAACGACATAAACAACTTTGTTTATACTATCCAAATGCCATTGCTACATTCCACATGCCTTTCGAAGGTGAACTGAAAGACAAGGGGGCGGTCTTGCCCTTTGACACAGAACCAGCCTAACCATCAAAGGGATTATGAACAAAACTAAACCGTCTTATGAATGCTTTGAAGCTGTCATCCATCACGGCAAATTCACCATGAAACTTATGACTTTATATTGTCCGCCTTTCTCCAACGAACACCTTGTGACTACCACTACATTCTTGAACAAGTTCACTTCCTACGTCGAAGAAATCATACTATCCCCTGAACCACTTATTAATGTTGGTGATTTCAATCTCCATACTCAAATGCCTTCTAAACTCAGTTAAACCACAGTTATCCAAGAAGCTGATTACTTACAGAAAGCTCAAAGATGTCGATATTAAGGCATTTATAGATGACCTCGCTTCTGCCAAGCTTACTCAGGATTCTACTATTGACTATTGACTATTGATCTCGACCTCATTGCTGACAAGTACAACTCTTCTCTCATGCTCCAAAGTAGTCATCGACAAACCCCACCTATCCTGGTTCAACAGTAAAATC